CTCCTCGTCCTCCTCCTCGTCCTCATTCTCTTCATCCTCGTCTTCCTCCTCCTCCTCCTCCTCTTCCTCCTTTTCTCCTCCTTCCCCCAATGGCGGGGCGCGATTGGCCTGCGGGCCGTTCAGCAGGCCCGTCAGCCGCCCGAGGGTGTGCTGGCCTATCCCGACGCACCTGTGCAGGCTCAGCCTGGCGGGCCCACCCTGCGGAGGACACCCCTTGTATCGAGGATCGAGGAACCAGGATTCACTTGTCCGAGCTCGCGCCATACAGCTAGTACGAAGCCAGAAAGAGGACACATTCGGGTGAGGATAAACCGAAAATCCCTGAGATCGGCGTACCTGGAGAATAAGGCGGGGCGCCGCGGCTTCCTCAAGAGCGTACCGGAAAGCTTTGAGAGCGTCCCAGAACGCTCGGAAACGGATGTATCCACATCCTAGCCCCGCGAATTCCCAACGCAGATTTTGCGCTTCAGGGTTCTGGCTTGCCTTCGAAGGTAACCAACGGAACTCCAGGGTCGCCCTGGCCGGCGCGGTGCTTCCCGCCGCCGCCCGTCGCCACCGCCGCCGCAGCCGGTAAGCGAGCCTCGTCGCCGCCCGTCGCCGCCGTCGCTGCTGGTCGCGCTGCTGCGCACTGCGCTGCACGGATTTCTATTGCAGTGCTTTGCTTGGCGTCGTGCCGCACTGCTCAGCACTGTGTGCTGCCCTGCGTCCAAAGTGCTTGGCACTGCGTCCGCATATTGCGTCGCACTGCGTTCCTTCGCACTGCTGCGCGCTGCTCTGCATTGCTCCGCACGGCTTCGCATTGCTGCGCATTGGTTTGCATCGCTTTGCCGCGCACTACATTGCATTGCATTACTGTGCACTGCTGCGTTGTATCGCTTCGAATTGCGTGGCATTGGTTTGCGTAGCTTCGCACCGAACAGACTGCACCACCAAGATTGCCCCACGTTCCTTGCACCGCAAAAAAATGCACCGCACAAATTGCAAGAAATCTCTGTTCGGGGTCCACGCTGGGTACCACAGCATTTGCGGAAAACGCCCGCTACCGACCCCCCCCCAGCCCGCCCCTGGTAGGGTCACGATTCGCGCCAGCACCGTCTGAGCCCAGACGGCCAAAGGGGCCCCCAAGAAGGGTCCAAGAGAGTCCAACAACAGCCCCCGAAGCCCCCAAGACAGCCCAAGAGGGCCCCCAGACGGCTCCAAGACGGAGCCCAGAGGGAACCTTTTCGAGCCTTCGACCCCAAGACGATCCCAGCCTGCCCCAAGAACAGCCCAAGAGGCACTGAGGGACCCCCAAGAGAACCTCAAAGGCCTCCAAGAAGCCCCCAGGCAACCCCCAAGAGGCCCCAAAACTTGGCCCAAGATGCCTCGAGGCGGCCGGATATGGCCTGCAGACAGGCCAAGAAGCCACCAAAATGCCACAAAATAGCATCAAGAGGTACGATAACAACAACGAAACAACAGGAACGATGTCGAGCGCCGTGTCATGATTCGGACAAGCCTCGTGAAATGCAGTCCTGAAGGCGCAGTAGTGTATATAGGGGTCGGCGGATGTGGCGTAAGCCTATATAATCAACATCCTCTACGTAATCAGCATCAGCATCAGCATGATGCCATCATCATCATCATCATCATCATCATCATCATCATCATCATCATCATCATCATCATCAGCATCACAATCAGAATAATCAACATCATCAACAATATCATCATCACCATCACCGTCACCATGATCATCAACATCATCATCAGCATCATCACCATCATCAGCATCATCATCAGCACCAGTATGACCACCACCATCATCGTCAGAAGTATCCTTGTCGTCCTCCTCCTTGTCCTTCTCCTCCTCCGCAAGGTCATCATCATCATCATCAGCATCATCATCATCATCATCATCAGCATCATCATCATCATCATCAGCATCAGCATCAGCATCAGCATCATCATCATCATCATCATCATCATCATCATCATCATCATCGGCGGCATCATCATCATCATCATCATCACCATCATCATCAGCACCATCAGCATCATCATCACCAGCATCCTCATCAGCAGCATCAGCATCACCATCATCTGTAGCAGTATGCTCTTCATCAGCATCACCATCACCACCACCACCATCATCAGCAGCAGCACCATCATCATCATCACCATTATCAGCAGCAGCCGCATCACCATCCTTATCCTGATCATCAGCACCACCATCACCAGCAGCATCATTGATCCTCCTCCAGAGCACGCTCGCGGCGGGCGCGGGCGAGGTCCTCGCCAGCGCCGGAGGCTGCGTCGCCATCACGGCACTCAGGAAGGCCTGGCGCGAGGCGGCCGGTCCCGCCCCTGTGCCTGCACGACCCCTGCCCCCCGCCCCCTGCTCACTGGGGGGGGATCGAGGATCGAGGAGGTGGAAGAGGATCGAGGGATCGAAGAGGATCGAGGGGTCGAGGATCGAGGGACCGAGGGATCGAGGATCGAGGGGTCGAGGGATCGAGGATCGAGGATCGAGGGATGGAGATGGGGGAGGGGATCGAGGGATCGAGGGCTCGAAGGGGATCGGGGATGGAGGGCAGCGGGTCGAGGCGTCGAGGGGGATCGGGGCCTGGCCGCCCGCACCTTGCCAGCCCCCGTTGCCCTCACCCGCGGGGGCGTCAGCGGCCCCAGCACCGCGTGGCCTCTCCCCATCGTCGGCATCGGCGTTGGCCTCCCTCCTCCTCCTCGTGGTCTCCGCTTGAGTTTGCCCGAAATCCCACCACATCAGCACTCAGGTCGTTGCCGTCGGAGGCAGACTCGTCACCGAGCGCTCGTTCCTGCCTGAGCTCCTGGGCCAGGCAGCCTTGTGCCCGTGGTGTCGTCGTCCATGCCGTCAGAGGATGGCCCGTCATCGCCTGAGCATGATACCTGGTCCGCCTCGTTAACTTCATATCAGTCTGAGGCCATGGATAGCGCCCTGCAGTGCGTGTGCAACTGCGTCGCCACGGACACTGCAAGCGCGCTGTCACGCCCGACACATGCCTTCTAGAAGCCGCACAACAGCCTAGAGCTGATGGCCGTGATATGACATTGGCGCCGCCCAATGAACTCGATTGAGATGATGTAGGTTCTGAAGTCCTCGCGCGTTCAGGCAGAGCCATCGCTCTTCATAGCATCACTGTAGATCTTCATGTCGTCACAGGCTACACATAGGCAAAGGCTCAGGGACAGCGCGAGAGCAACACCTGCACTCCATTTTTACGACTCCGGCAGCTCAGATTCGCTGATGTATGGTTTTTGAAGCGGCCTTCGCGAACCCAAGGGCGACCGCGGATCGTTGGCTCTTTTGGACGCCCTGTGTAGACCTTGCCAAACCTGTTATCGAGCCGGATCCCACCGACCCTCTGAACGAAGAAATCGCCTGCCCGCAGGAGGCTCAAGCAATTTTGATGGGCCGAGAAGGAGAGGCAGGAGGCTCAAGCAGTTCTGCCACCGCTACCATAGGCAGGAGAGGCAGGAGGACGAGAAAGAGGAGGAGGACCTTCCCATCCTCTCTGCTCCCCCGTCCTATGTATGGCAAAGGTGGTGGAAGATTGGCCCATCAAGCTCGGCCCTGCTCTGCCCGATTGCTCGGCCGTTCTGAGCAGAGGCGACACACCGGCACAATGACGGTGCGTGCTGCAGTGCTGCACCCGCCCAAGGAGGAGGAGGAGGAGGAGAAGGAAGAGGAGGAGGAAGAGGAAGAGGAAGAGGAGGACGAGGGGGTGGAGGTGGAGGAGGAGGAGGAGGATAGTGAGACCCCCCCAGACGCTGCACTTTGGGTCAGGCTGTGTACTTCGGGTCAGGCGGTACACTCTGAGGTTAACCAACAAGAATAGGGAAACAAACACTGACATAAACAGAAAACTCTGAAGTCCGCGCGGATTTCTCGGATCAGCGCCGGAGGCGCCGCCAGGGGGGTCCAGCGCGGATCCGAGAAATCCGCGCGGAGCTGTTTTTTTATGTTTGTGTCATTGTTCGCTCCCTTCGAACATAGATGGCGCGGCTCTTGATTGCCAAAGCCCAGTGCCAGTCACGCCTGGCTTGCCAGCCAGGTCCACTGCGGCAAAGGACATGGGGCATTCATGGTGTCAAGGCTGACCCCGTGCAATTGAATGCGATTGATGTATGGCGTGCTCATGGCAAGTGATCATGGTGTACGTCATTGATGTATGCCTTGGAGTACATTATTGACGTCTTATCGGGACGTTTGTGTAGACGTCAGTTCTTGATGTCTGTGCTGGATACCGGTGAACGGCTCGGCGTCGTGAAGCCTGGCATGTTTGATTCATCGCGCAATGCTTCTACACTTTTCTTATGTTTGGAGCGTCGCGAGGCGGGGCACTCAGGGACCATCACGACTACTGAGGCCTGGCAGCCGCGGCGTGCAGGGCTAACGGGCGAGACGGGACGGACGGATTTTTCCCTTTTAGCCTGACAACCCCAGCCTGTAGGTTGGTCGAAAATCAGCCCTCGATCCTACAGACGAAGACGACTCTTCTCTCCAAGCAAAAATTGCTCCCCGGACCAAGACTTCGAAGGGAAACCCAGCCGCGTCCACAGGGGCGCCCCCCGAAGCCCAAAAACGCCTCACGACGACGACGACAGTGACCAGCGACGAGCGATGGCGATTACCGACGGCGATGAGCGACGGCGAGGACGACCGACGGCGACGACAACGACGACAAGCGACGGCGACGACCGACCTCGACGGCCTCGGCGACGACAACCAACGGCGACGGCCGACGACGCCTACGACGACCGACGGCACAAACGGCCCACGACGACCGACCTCAACGGCGACGACGACGACGACGACCACCTCTACGACGACGACCGACGGCGACAACGCCGCACGACGGCGACAACCGACGGCATGGCACCCAGGATCAATCAGCATCAGGTCGGGAAAGCGGATCGGATCGGATCGGAACACGCACCTGGGGAAACCACAGGGTACCAGTACCGCGACTCCCCGGACCTCCCCCGGGGCGCGTCCTGACTAGGATCTGGAAGCGAAGCCAGCGGTGGCGACGAGGGCCTCCCGGCAGGCCGACAAGGGGGAAACGAAGAAGGGGCAACGTGGGCACGCGATTTGAAACGGGGGGGCGACACGATGTTCAAAAAAAATCGCGGTGGGGGGGGGCCGGGTAGGACACGAGTATTGAGCAAGGACCGACCTTCCTGGCATTCCTATACTCCTACCACGTAATGCTCTTAGAACCCAACAGAAGCAATGCTCTTAGAACATCAACCCGGTGTGTGAAAACAAGACAGACTCCACCAGAAATGTTCTCAGAACATGTCGTGGAGACCACAAAAAAGGCTCTCAGAACATTGCCTGGTAGGGCTGCAGGCGAGCCAGGACGCTTCGCCACTGCTCGAGAGTAGACCACGCGCTCGCGGCGACGCCCGAGGGCGCTCGGAGCCCGCGCGCCGCCGCTCGGGGGCGCCCGGCGCCCGTCCTCCGCCGCAGACTGGACCGGATCGGCGCGGCCCGCTGTGGAGGTCGGGCCGCGCCGGCACGGAGCCGAGAGAGGTCGGGCTGGGCGACCGGGCCGGCCTGCCCTCCGACCTCCTCCCTTCCTCCATCCTCCTCATCCATCCTCACTCCTCACTCCCTCATTCCTCCCCTCCTCCCGTACCCACCTCTCCACCTACCCTCCTCCTCCTCCCTCCTCCCTACTACCTACTTCCATCCTCCCTCCTCGTTCCTCCTCCTCCGCCTCCCTCGGCGCACCGCGGCCGCTGCGCGAGCCGCCGGCCGCGCCTCGGGTCGCCGAAGGTCGGTGGCGCGCGAGCTGAACCGGGCGAGATGGGCGCCGCGTCGTGCCCCCCTCCAGGCGGGATCTCGGCGAAAAGAGGGGGAAAATAGTTCAAAATATCTTCAAGCAGAGGCAGAAACATGGGAGTACAGTCGTACCCAGGACATGGTTTGCACTGTCTAGAATCTTCGCCTCTGTAGAGGGAAGGCCCGACATCATCTGCGGGTAATTCGCCGGCCCAACGGGCCAGAGGCGTGCTAAGATCTCCGGTAACTGGTTAACAATTTTCTAGTTCGCGCGCGCGGGGCGGCCCCTGGGGGTCCCCGGACGAAAAGTACCCCGACCAGGTCCCGGCCGGGTCCCCCCGAGCGCCCCATGAGCGCACCAACAGGGCTCCGAAAACGTCCCCGAGGACCCAAACAAAACCAAGAGGCCCCCAAGAGGCCCCCAAGATGGTACACGAGGGGTCCGACATGCCACAAGATCGCTCCAAGACGCCCAAGATGGCCCCCAGACGCCCCAAGAGGCCTCCAAGAGCACTCCCAAGAGGGCCTCCGGAGGCAAAATTCATTGATTTTCCTTAGGTTTTTGAGAGATTTTGGAGCTTCCACCTTTTCGGCTTCCCGACGCCCCAAGACGGCCCAAGAGGCCCCCAAGATCGCCCCAAGAGGGCCCAAGAGGCCCCCAAGAGGGCCCCAAGATGGCCCAAGAGGGCTCGAAGACGGCCCAAGAAGCCTCCAAGACGGCCCAAGAGGGCCCCAAGAACGCCCCAAGAGAGGGAACACGAAACAACATTTCCAGCCCTCGGCCCCAAGAAGCCCCTCCGAGGCCCCAAGAGGCCCCTGAGAGGCCCCAAGAGGCCCCGACGAGGCCCTCAGGAGGCCCCCAAGAGTCCCCCAAGCGGCCCCAGGAGGCCCCCCAAATGCCCCCCCGAGCGCCCCAGGAACCCCCAAAGCGCCGCATTGACACCAGGCCCTCGGGCAAACGGCAGACATGAGACTGTATGGGCCGGCGGAATGAGCGAAGCGATTAAATAACACGGCAGTCAGATCAACTGTCGGAGGCCCGCGCGAAAATCCTGGAGCTGCGCTGGGCCCCCCTCCCCCTGGCGCGCGGGGCCCGCCAGGGGGGGCCCAGCGCAGGTCCGAGGCGTCCGCGCGGAGCTCCAGAAGCTGCGCTCCTGCCTCTGAAGAGACATGGCGTGGGGGAAGCGGGTCCCTGAACCCCGGGGCCTGCCCCCTGGGCCAGCTCTGCCTCCTGCGCCGTTTCCTGGCGGCCCTGGGCCCCGCGAGGGCCCAGGAGGGCACGAGAAGACGGCGGCACACCTCAGAGGACCCGTTGCGCTCGGGACCCCCCCCCCCTCCCCCTGCACGGTTTCCCCCGCGGCCGTAGGCGACCCGAGAAGCAGGAGGAGGAGGACCAGGAGGAGGTGGAGGAGGAGGAGGAGGAAGAGGAGGAGGAGGAGGAGGAGGAGGAAGAGGAGGGGAGGAGGAGGAGGAGGATGAGGAGGAGGAGGAAACGAGGAGGAGGAGGAGGAGGAGGGAGGGAGAGATGAGGAGGAGGAGGAGGAGGAGGAGGAGGACGGGTCGCCTAAGCCCTTCGGAGAGACCCCCCCCCTCCCCCCCCTGGCGGCAGCCCCCCCCTCCAGGTCGGATTGGGGTGGCCCCTGCTGCCCCCCCGGGGCGGCCGCGGCCCCCCCCCCCGCCGCGAAGGGCCGCCCGCCCCCGGCGGCCCCGCGGCCTCCAGGGCCCGGTCGGAGAGGAGCAGGTTGCCCCCGAGGTCGACGTCCCGCAGCGGCACGCCTGCGGGCGCGGGCGGCCCGGGGGCGACGGCGAGGGCCTCCGCACGGTGGATGTCGAAGGAGTCCCTCCACGGGGACGAATGCGTGATGGCCCAGCCTCCCTCGGCGAGGAGGTCCGGGTCGACCTCGCCGAAGGACTTGCCCCAGTTCTTGGCCTCGCCCGTCGCCGAAGGACTTGCCCAGTTCGGGTGCGGGCAGTATGTATATCCATATCCAGTGCGCCTTGGACTTTCTTGGAAGGGGCGCCTCAAGGCCGAGGCGCACTGGATGTGGAGAAAGATGAAGCCTTTGAGAGGCAGATTATAATCAATATCCAGTGCGCCTCATGTTTCTTGGGAAGGGTGTCCGAAACTCCAAGACGCACTGGATGTGGATAAAGACATTGCCCGCAGAGGGGGCCACGGGCGGGCCTCTGCCCCCGCCCCCCACGCGAGCTCCGAGGGGGGCAGGGTCGGGGTCCACCTCGCCCGGGCACCCCCGAGCGTCCGCAGCCGGTCGGGCTCCAGCCGCCGCCCCTCGCCGGGGCGGAGCGGCCCGCGGGCGGCCAGGCGAGGCCTCGCGATGGGCCAGGTGGTGTGCTGCGGCTGCGAGTGCGCCCGCCGGCCGCCCCGCGGGCGGAGAAGAGGGGGGAGGAGGGCGGAGGAGGAGGCGGCGGCGGAGGAGGCGGAGGAGGAGGCGGAGGAGGAGGAGCTGGAGGAGGAGGAGCTGGAGGACGAGGAGGGAGGAGGAGCCTCCCGAAGGGGCAGGGGGGGGCCTGAGCGGGGGGCGGCTGGCTCTGCGCGGCGCCCGCCGGCCTCGCGCAGGGGCCAACGGCGTGCAGCCCGCGGCCACGGCACCCACCGCCCGCGCCAACATCGTTCCCGGGCACTTGGAGGCCCACACATCCCAGAAACAATTTCGAGCACCCAGAAAAGCATCGAAACAGTGTCGCAGGAGCATCGCCTCCCAGGGCCCGACACCTGAAAACCCGCGAGCTTCGGTACTTCCTTGGTGCTCGAAATTCGTTCTGGTGATGAAAGTAGGATGGGGCATCATGAATTGAGGCCAGCATGTGTGGCTTGCCCCCGAGCTTTGCCCGCAGTCGATCGCGGGGACCCACGAGCACGTGGAGTTCATCGCCAAGGAGCACAACAACCCAGAGGTCCGGCCATCCACCGTCTCGCTTACGCAGTGCGGGCATCAAGTTGTTTTACAAGGATGGCACACCAACCACATGTGGAGCCCGCGGCAAGCGTCGCGCACCTGGCGTCCGCTTTGTTTCCCAGAGGCTGTCCATCCAGTGGCGACCCCTGGCTATGCCGAGACTCGGATGCCACTTATGTGGTGGGAGGGCGGGTGGGAATGAGCTAGACAGCTTGCTGGCGGAGAGGGTGCCTTGACCACTCCCCCTACGGTACTTGTTCGCCCAAGTTGGCTCCTCCAAGATGGCCTCAGAGAGCCCAAGACGGCCTCCAAGATGGCTCGAAATAGCGCAACATCGCTCAAGATGGTTTCCAAATGTGTTTTGCTTTCTCGCCTTTTCGCTTCCGATGGCCATCCAAGGCCTCAAGATGGTTCCAATATGGCCCAAGAGGGCCCCGAGAGGGCCCCAAGAGAGGCTCAAGAGCCCCGACCTTTGTTCTTCTGCAGGCTCCCCCGCTTCCCTGATCACCTCAACTCCCCCGAGCGTCGGTTCTGCATGGGATGGTGGGGATACGCGAAGCGCCAACAGCGTATCCCCAACCTCATCACGAACATCCTGGAACCTGCCTCAAGGCACGAGTATGTCCAATACGACAACAAGTACGGCTGCAACACGGCTTCCACGACAACCAATACGGCTACGCCAATTACCACGACTACCAATTGTACTGCCAATACGGCTACCAGAAGGAATTCGAGGATCTGCCCCCCTGGGCGCTCCATCCCGGAGTAGACCCGGGCATCAGCCCTGAAACTAACGTCAAGATGGGTATCCCCCCCTAGGGATCCCCTTGGCGGCATCCCTCACCTAATTAGCCCTTCAGCTTCAGGCTATGTCGCCAAAGATCCCTGCCCTGTCCCCACGGCTGGATCCGCCACGAAAGCCTCAGCAGCAGAACCGCACCCGTGAAGGCCTCGCCAGCGCAGCTACACCGCCGCCCTCTTCAGCGGCACACCTCGACGCGGCCGGCTGCAACCTCTTCGGCGACTGCAACGCCTACGACGTCGACTCCGGGCACAAACTCCGCCAGCCCCGACGGGCACCGCAGCGACGACGCCGCCTGCCCCTTCGCCAACGACGGCGCCCTCGACGGCCGAGGCGCCCGCAGGAACCACCCGCCTCTAAAACAGGGCTAGGATCGGGATAAATCGCTCCAGAGCGTTCCGGAGCGCTCTCAGAGCGTTCTGGAACGCTCTGGAGCGGCCGCGGCGCCCAATACATCCTCCAAACCCGCCGATTCTCAGAGATTTCGAGTTATCCCGATCAGATGTTGCCCAGATCTTCGCGTCGTTTGAGCCAGGCCCGGCGCCTGGGGCCGGGGAAAGGCCGGCGACACGGAGGCGAGAGCCGGCCGGAGGCCCACCACGAGGCCGCGCGGATCACGGCCATCGCCTCCGTCGACGCCAGCGACGGCCGCGTGGGCGTCAGGCTGGAGGACGAGGGAACAGCCTGCCTCGTCAGCGACGAGGCACCGGGACCCCGACGTCAGCGAGTGCCGCATCGACCCCGCGACGTGCACCTGCATCTTCAGCTACTATACGGCGGGCCCCTCAAGCCGCAGGAGGACACGGCCGCCCTCGAGCACAGCCTGCACAGCCCCGTCGCGCAGCTATGCAAAGAAGCAGGAGGAGGCCCGCCCACCACCGCGAGCGCAGCTACGGCGACAACTTCGGCCCGACGAGCAGCGACCCTGACCGCGACCGGGACTGGGCGCACCACCAGAAGTGAAGGGAAACTGGGACACACAAATAAATACACACGAATAAAAAGATGTCCAATATTTTCCTACATTTTCTGGGTTTTTGTCTTCCCCACCACTTCCCACATTTTCCTGGGGATCGACGAATCATTGTGTCTGTGTGTTTTTCCCCTCCTGAAGAAGGACAGCTCCTTCCCTCATCGTCGCCCCGTCGTGGACGGGGGGTCCCCGCGCGAGCTGCGCCCGCGGCCGTCAAGAGAGGGGCAAGCCCCCGTGCGCGCAAGGGCCAGCGTGCCCCCCCCCTCTCGCTTGTCCCCCTCCCCCTGCTGTCGCGCCCCTCTCCTCCCCCCCCCCGCCCGCCCGCTCTCCCCCCGGGGGGGAGTGGGGGGGCGGCCTTCGTGGGCCTCTCCGCGCTCGGGGGGCTCCTCCTCCTCCTCCTTCTCCTCCGCCTCCTCCTCCTCCTCCTCCTCCTCCTCCTCCCCCTCCTCCTCCTCCTCCTCCTCCTCCTCCTCCTCCTCCTCCTCTCCTCCTCCTCCTCCTCCTCCTCCTCGTCCTCCTCCTCCGCCTCCTCCGCCTCTCCTCCTCCTCCTCCTCCTCCCCTCTCCCTCTCCGCCTTCTTCGTCGCGTCAGTCCCTGCGTTCGGGCCCGTCTCGTCCTCCCTTTCGGGCCCCTCGCTGCGTCCCCCCCCCCCCGCATGCCTCGCCCCGCGCCGCCGACGCCCCGCCCGCCGGCGCGGGGGCGCGCCATGGCTGCGTCTGAAGACACTGAAGCCAGTAGGAGATAGGAAATAGGGGGATCGAGGAGGATCGAGAGGAGGAGGAGGAGGAGGAGGAGGAGGAGGAGGAGGAGGAGGACGAGGACGAGGAGGAGGAGGACGAGGAGGAGGATCGAGGAGGACGAGGAGGACGAGGAGGAGAAGGATCGAGGAGCAGGAGGAGGAGGAGGAGGAGGAGGAGGAGGAGGAGGAGGAGGAGGTGGGGGAGGAGGGGGAGGAGGATCGAGGATGTTCGACGTCTGGAGTGTCTCGTGGGCTCCGCCAGGAAGCCCCGGAGGCCTCCAGAGGGGGCCTCCTGGGACCCCGCGCGCCCCTCAAGCCTTGGGTCGTCCCCACCCTGCTGCTCGCCGCTGCCGCCGACCACGCCGGCGAGAGCCGCTGGCCGCTGGCGGTGGCCGCTGCCCACTGGCCGAACGGACGTTGCCTGGTCGGTGGCGAAGGCGCCGCCGAGGAAGGCCGCCGAGGGGAGTTCGGGAAGGCATTTCACGGAGGCCCTCGCAGGAGGGCAGACTGGGCGAGATTCAGGGCCAGACGGGAAGGATCGACCCCGATGCAGCCAAGAAGCAAGCCGGATGAAGCGGGATGATTGAACAGGAGCGGACTTTTGATGAGATTAACGGCCAGGTTTCGACCGGGGACACGCCAGGGCCGATGATGAATTCAGCATCCCAGAAGATGCAACCAGGAGGGAGGAGGCAGGAGTAGGAGAACGTCAACTGCACACCTGCGCCGATCCTGGCAAGACCCATCCTGGGCCCCGAGATCGGTGCATTCGCCTGCCTGGCCAAAGCAAGCATAGGAGCGCATATACGCCCGTCCTGGTCCCAGCATGGGCCAGACAGGATCGGTGTATGGGTGTATAGCCGGCGTCCCCCGGAGCAGGAGGCAAGCGTTTCGGCGTTTCGGGGCTTGCTGCGAAGAGGCCCTCCCGCGCAAGTCCATCGCTGTCGCGCGAAGCCGAGAACACCGAGCGACCAGACGCGAGCGGACGGAGCGAAGGCAAGCTCAGGCGATCGAGAAAGAGGCATCTACGCTTGGTCCCCCTCGCTGATGCCCACACACACACACACACACGCACAAACACACACACACACACGCCGACGGTGTACAAGTGCACCGTCGGCGTCCCCGAACGCAAACTCGCGCGCGCGGTGGCAGCGCGCGGCGCAGGGTGGGCGTGCCCGGCACCACGGCCGTGATGGCAGCCAGGTCCGTGTCCACCAGGCCGTGGTTGCCCAACCGCAGCATCTCGGAGTGGCCTGGCCCGCTGGCCGCTCGCACGCAGAAGGCAGCAGAGCCCCGAATCGATAAGTCGGATCGGAGATCGACATGGATCGGATCGGCGGAGGTCGGCAGCCGAGTCGGGAAAAGTCGAATCGGCGGAAATCGGCAGGCTAGTAATTCGGCATCCGAAGAGAAATCGGAGCCCGAAGCGGAATCCAAAGTCGAATGGAATGGAGCTCGGACACCATCGAAGTCGAATCGAATCCAATCGGGGGAATCGACACGAGCCCTGCAGGAGGGGCTCACACACCCGCCACCATGCCCGGCGCACCAGCCCTGGGCCCTGGCGTTAGGTCAGGCATGTCCCCCTAATTACCGGCGGACATGGGGCGAAACACAAAATGTAGCCCCAAAAAAACAAAAATGGACAAAAAAACGCCCCCAGACTATTTTTGACTGTTTTTGAGCAGTCCTCCTGTAGAGGGACAGGCCCGACTTGATCGACCCTGGCGCGGTCTGTGCGCCTCCCGGCCGGTGCCGATGGAGAGATTGCCCCCGCCCCGTCCGTTGACCGGACAGCTCGCCCCTTGGCCCCCCGCCAGCCCCAAGCCAAGGGGCGAGCATATATACGGGCGCAGCACCGCGCTGGATGCGTAGCCGTCGGCTGGGCCAACCAAGCGAATGACGCATCGCGTGGCGGCTGGATGCCCGCGCCGAGCACAGCTCTTCTCGGCTCCTCCCTCCTCCTCCTCCTCCTCCTCTTCCTCCTCCTCCTCCTCCTCTCCTCCTCCTCCTCCTCCTCCTCCTCCTCCTCCCTTCTGCTGCCTCCTCATCCCGTCCGCGTCCTCCGCCTTCTTCCTCCTCGTCGTCCTCTCGGCTTTTTGCGTACAGGCATGATGCCCAAGATGTGGCAGGAAGTGCGATGCGTTCCCTAGTGGAAAAGCGAGCTTGAGCGCGCGTGCGGCTGCGGGCAGGCTGCGGCTGCGCGCGTGCCCTCTTGCGCAACTGGCCCAGAAATATCATCACCGTCCCTGGCGGAAAATCGCCACTGCCACCCGCGATATCCTCACCCGCTGGCTTAAGACTGCCACCGAAATATCCTCACCCGCTGGCTTAAAACTGCCACCCGAAATATCCTCACCCGCTGGCTTAAAACTGCCACCCAAATATTCTCACCCGCTGGCTTAAAACTGCCACCCGAGATATCCTCACCCGCTGGCTTAAGACTGCCACCGAAATATCCTCACCCGCTGGCTTAAAACTGCCACCGAAATATCCTCACCCGCTGACTTAAAACTGCCACCGAAATATCCTCACCCGCTGGCTTAAAACTGCCACCGAAATATCCTCACCCGCTGGCTTAAGACTGTCACCGAAATATCCTCACCCGCTGGCTTAAAACTGCCACCGAAATATCCTCACCCGCTGGCTTAAAACTGCCACCCAAATTTCTCACCCGCTGGCTTAAAACTGCCACCCGAGATATCCTCACCCGCTGGCTTAATACTGCCACCGAAATATCCTCACCCGCTGGCTTAACGACTGCCACCGAAATATCCTCACCCGCTGGCTTAAAACTGCCACCCAAATATTCTCACCCGCTGGCTTAAAACTGCCACCCAAATATCCTCACCCGCTGGCTTAAGACTGCCACCGAAATATCCTCACCCGCTGGCTTAAGACTGCCACCGAAATATCCTCACCCGCTGGCTTAAAACTGCCACCCAAATATTCACCCGCTGGCTTAAAACTGCCACCCAAATATTCTCACCCGCTGGCTTACAACTCCCACCCGAGATATCCTCACCCGTTGGCTTAAAACTGCCACCCGAAATATCCTCACCCGCTGGCCTAAAACTGCCACCCGAGATATCCTCACCCGCTGGCTTAAACCTGCCACCCGAAATATCATCACCCGCTGGCTTAAAACTGCCACCGAAATATCCTCACCCGAGATATCCTCACCCGCTGGCTCAGAACCGCCACCGAAATATGCTCACCCGCTGGCGCTTAAAACTGCCACCCAAATATCCTCACCCGCTGGCTTAAAACTGCGACCCGAAATATCCTCACCCGCTGGATAAAAACTGCCACCGAAATATCCTCACCCGCTGGCTTAAAACTGCCACCGAAATATCCTCACCCGCTGGCTTAAAACTGCCACCCGAGATATCCTCACCCGCTGGCTTAAAACTGCCACCGAAATATCCTCACCCGCTGGCTTAAACCTGCCACCCGAGATATCCTCACCCGCTGGCTTAAACCTGCCACCCGAGATATCCTCACCCGCTGGCTTAAACCTGCCACCCGAAATATCCTCACCCGAGATATCCTCACCCGCTGGCTTAAAACTGCCACCGAAATATCCTCACCCGCTGGCGCTTAAAACTGCCACCCGAGATATCCTCACCCGGTGGCTTAAAACTGCCACCCGAGATATCCTCACCCGCTGGCTTAAAACTGCCACCCGAAATATCCTCACCCGCTGGCTTAAAACTGCCACCCGAGATATCCGCACCCGCTGGCTTAAAACTGCCACCCGAAATATCCTCACCCGCTGGCTTAAAACTGCCACCCGAGATATCCTCACCCGCTGGCTTAAAACTCCGAAATATCCTCACCAGCTGGCTTAAAACTGCCACCCGAAATATCCTCACCCGCGGAAATAAAACTGCCATCTAACGGCCTGGTGGTTCAGTTCAGTCTGTCAGTGTCTACCTCGCGAGAATCAAATTACGGGCTGCGCCCGTAAAAAACGCCCCCAGACTATTTTTGACTGTTTTTGAGCAGTCCTCCTGTAGAGGGACAGGCCCGACTTGATCGACCCTGGCGCGGTCTGTGCGCCTCCCGGCCGGTGCCGATGGAGAGATTGCCCCCGCCCCGTCCGTTGGGGGGCGCCGGGCGGCTCTGGCCGGGCCGAGGTGCATGCGGGTGCCTTCTGCGGGGGCCCGCGGATCGAGGAGGGTCGAGGAGAAGGATTGAGGAGGATCGAGGAGGGTCGAGGAGGGTCGAGGAGAAGGATCGAGGAGGGTCGAGGAGGAGGACGAGGAGGAGGAGGAGGAGGAGGAGGAGGAGGAGAAGGATCGAGGAGGAGGAAAGAGGAGGGGGGAGGAGAGGAGGAGGGGGAGGAGAAGGATCGAGGAGGATCGAGGGGTCGAGGAGAAGGATCGAGGAGGGTCGAGGAGGAGGAGGAGGAGGAGGGAGGAGGAGGAGGAATCGAGGAGGGTCGAGGAGGGGAGGAGGAGGAGGAGGAGGGAGGGAGGAGGAGGGGGAGGGAGGAGGAGGGAGGAGGAGGAGGAGAGGAGGAGGAGAGGAGCTCGAGGAGGAGGAGGAGGGGGGGGAGGATCGAGGATGCTGGACGCCTGGAGCGCCCTGCGGCCTCCGCCAGAAAAAGCCCTGGAGGCCTCCCGAGGGGGCCCTCCTGCATCGAGGGGTCGGGCCTCCTCGGCGCCGCCCGGGCCCCGCGCGGGCCTCCCGGGGGGGGGGGGCCTCCGGGGCCGCAGGAGGCCCGCCCGCGGCACCTCGGAGCGGCGCGGGGCCCCGCTGGACGCTTGCACCCACACCTCTAAGGGGGCCCTGGGACACACACACACATACATATATATATATATATATATACATATATATATAGACAGAAATAACAGGATTCCCCATATTTCCCCAGATGTTCTGGGTTGTCGTCTTCCCCCCCACGTCCCATATGTTCCCATGTCTCCCGAGGAGTCGACGATTAAGTGTGTCTGTGTGTTCCTTTCCCTCCTGAACCTCCCGCGGATTGTTTTGTGAGGTCGGCCATGCCCTCCTGCAGGCGGATTCTGGAGGGAAAACTAGAACTAGTCAAAACATAATCAAGAACAGTCCAAAAAATTAAAGCACTAATCGTCCCCAGACTATGTTTTGATTATGTTTGAATAATCCTCCTGTAGGGGGACATGCCCGACTTAACTGTTTTGCCTGGTCCCGGTGTGTCCCTTCAAATTGTTCAGCATTTTGCTGATGGCAGCCCTCGGGCTCCAGAACTGGTTTTAATCACTCTTCGCCACCACTGCGTCTTGGCAGCGCCCGCGCGTGCGCCCGGGCCCCAACCCCGGCTGCTGCCGCGGTCCCTGCTGCCCTGGCTGGCCGCTCCGGTCCGCTCATCGCGGAACTCTTCCACGTCTGAGCGCCCTCCCCCTCCACCCTTCGCGCGGCCGCCCTCCTCGTCTTCGCCTCTCTCTCTCTCTCTCTCTCTCTCTCCCTTGCACGCCGGACAATCGGCCTATCGCCTGCCCCGATCAGCCCCGCGCTGGTGCGGACTGCCTCCGCCTCGCCTCGCCTCGCCGACGAAGAAAAAGTGTTCCTGCAAATGCGGCGTCCGCGGGCCGTCCCAGGGCTCTGGGACCAATCAGAGATGGATCGGGGCCCAGCATCTGCACACGGAAGGGGTCGAGGCCCCCAGGGCTCGCGGACTGAAAAGTCATGCCGTCGGATGTCTGGGGGGTCCGGGGCGTCCCCAGACGGAGGAGCGAGGTTCTTGAACGTTCCTGGCCCGTCGTGGGCTTCGCGGGGCCTCCAGAGGCCTCCGCATGACCTCGCTCCTGGGACCTCTGGAGGCCCCGTGGCCGACCCAACCAACCCGTTCCCCACGGGCAGCGGAGGGATGCCGCGCCAGAATGTACAACAGCGGCATGCAGACGTCGAACCGCCTCGGATCGCTGTGAAATCGAGCTCACGTCGGATCGAACCCGGCGAACTCGGAACTGCATCGGACCGATCGAAACGCAAAGGGCCCCAGCGGTCAAGTATGGGATCGACTGCAGGCTTGATTTACCCCAAACTTGACCTTCGCGTCGAACGTGCGCGAAAAATGTGCGTCGAATCTTCGTAGACATACAGATGATTCTACGTGTACTTTTACAGACTTGCCGAACAAATCAATGTTGTTTTCCTCAATTTCGTAGTCGACCCCCCCGCTGCACGGTTTCCCCCGGGGCCGTAGGCGACCCGAGGAGGAGGAGGAGGAGGAGGAGGAGGAGGAGGAGGAGGAGGAGGAGGAGGAGGAGGAGGAGGATCAGGAGGATGGAGAGCAGGAGAGGAGGGGGGGAGGAGGAGGAGGAGGAGGAGGAGGAGGAGGAGGAGGAGGAGGAGGAGGAGGAGGAGGGGAGGAGGAGGAGGAGAAAGAGGAGGAGGAGGAAGGAGGAGGAGGAGGAGGAGGAGGAGGAGGAGGAGGAGGAGAAGGAAGAAGAGGAGGAGGAGGAGGAGAAGGAGAAGGGAGAGGGGGAGGAGGAGGTGGAGAAGAAGGAGGAGGTGGAGGAGGGGGAGGGGGAGGAGGAGATGGAGGAGATGGAAGGAGATGGAGGAGAAGGAGAGGAGGAGGAGGAGGAGGAGGAGGCGGAGGAGGAGGAGGACGAGGAGGAGGAGGATCGACGGGTCGCCTGAGCCCCTCGGAGAAACCCGCCACCGCCCGCCTCGAAGGCCGGGGCCACGCTCGCCGCAGGGCCTCGACCTGTAGCCGAGCCTTGCCTCGCCCGCTGCCAGGCCCGCCTCGCCCCCGCGGGTGGCGCCGACCCCCGCCCTGCTCCGCTCGCGCGTCCCTCGGCCTCGCGCGAGCCTCGCGCCGCCCGCGCCTCGCCGCCTCGCCCCGCGCCTCGCTGCGCCCTCCCGCTCGAAAGCGCCCTCGCCCGACTCGCCCGACCCGCCTCCGCCTCCGCCTCCGCCTCCGCCTCCGCCTCCGCCTCCGCCTCCGCCTCCTCCTCCTCCTCCTCCCTCTCCTCCTCCTCTCCTCCTCCTCCTCCCTCCTCCTCCTCCTCCTCCTCCTCCTCCTCCTCCTCCTCCTCTCCTCCCTCCTCCTCATCATCCTCCTCCTCCTCCTCCTCCTCCTCCTCCTCCTCCTCCTCCTCCTCCTCCTCCTCCTCCTCCTCCCTCCTCCTCCTCCTCCTCCTCCTCCTCCTCCTCCTCCTCCCCCCACGCCAGTGGGACAGCAGGCAGGACCCGCCCGCGCGCCCACTCTTCGCCCGCCCCGGCTCGAGTTAGCCCCGCCGGGCCGCACGCGATAGGGGCCCGCCCTCCCAGGGCCTGCCGGGGCCCGTCCGCCAGACTCCTTCCCGAATCGTTCTGGAGGTAGGAGAGGGGTGTGGCATAAGTAGAGGGGTGTGGTGCCAGTGCTGAGTCTCGCGACGTCGTCGACAGTGTAGATAGCATCTCGAGCTCCACGGTTGGCACCACATCCCTCTATGCCACATCCCTTTCCTACCTGATGGGCCCCGCCCACGCGACCCGGCGGAGCGAGCACTGGGCGAAGCGAGCCCGGGGCGGAGCGGGCACTGGGCGAAACGAATGCCGGGCGGAGCGGGTCCCTGGCGAGGCGAGCCCCTGGAGAAGTGAGCCTCTGGCGAAGCGGGACTCGGGCGAGGCGACGCTCGGGACAAGCAGCTCCGCGCCAGAGTCGCTGGCTCCTCGGCGTCGCGGAATTGTTTCGCGCTGGGCGTGTGCGCCTGGTTTGGGGTACCTGGACCGCCGATCTGGCTCGACAGGCGTCGCAGAAAGATGGGTCGACGGCGACAGGCCCGCCTTCTTCGCGACGCTGGATCTTGGGGTCTTGACTGCCCCGATCGTTCCCACCCGATGCCTTTCCCCGCGCTGTCCGCCCCTTCGCGCGGCCCGCGCGCCTGTGACAAACGGCTGAAGCCCCAAGACGATCCCGCTGTGCTGGCACTCCTTCACGTAGCGCCTGACCGGGAAGTTGCCTGCGCCGCCCTCGAGCAACGAAGGGAGGACAACGGGATGCAGAAGCATGGTGGCTGTTTCGAAATGGCGCAAGGCGCATGGCACACAAACAGACACCTACACACACCCACACACACATACAGTCGCACTCTCTGTCTTGCATTTGGCGATGAGGCAACACATGTTTGAGTCAGTATGTCCGAGCGTGTTTCACAAGAAGTGCTCTTGCACGCGAGAACGCACGCACGAACGCACGCACAAACGCACGTACGCGCACGCGCACGCGCACGCGCACGCGCACGCGCACGCGCACGCGCACGCGCACGCGCACGCAATCACGCACGCACGCACGCACGCACGCGCATACGCACGCACGCACGCACGTACGCGCACGCACACGCGCACGCACGCACGTACGCGCACGCACACACGCACGCACACGCGCACGCTCACGCGCACGCGCACGCGCACGCGCACGCGCACGCGCACGCGCACGTGCACACGCACGCGCACGCGCACGCGCACGCGCACACGCACACGCACACGCACCCGCACACGCAAACGCACACGCACACGCACACGCACACGCGCCACGCTCACACGCACGCGCACGGGCGCACGCGCACGCGCACGCGCACACGCACAGCCACGCCACGCACAAGCACACGCACACGCACCCCCCCCGACACCCTCCGAAACCCCCCCCTCGACACCCCCCCCCCCCAGACACCCCCGACACCCCCCGACACCCACCGAAGCCCCCCCCCCCACACACCCGTCCCCCACACACACACACCCGACCCACCCCCCCCCCGAAACTCCCCCCCACAAAACACGCACAACACAACACACACACAGACACAACACAAACACACCCCTCCACACCGCCCCCCCCAACCCCACCCCACCCCCCCGCACACCTTCCTCCCCCCCCCCACCCCCCCCCCCCCCACCCCCTCACACACACACACACACACACACACACACACACCGCCACCCTCCCCCCACACAACACCAACCACCCCCACCGGACACACACACACACCACACACACACTCTCACACACCACACACACACACACCTATCACACACAAACACACACACACACCAACACACACACCACCACACCACACACACCATACCCCCACACCCACCCCCCCCCCCCCCACACACCCCCACACACCCCCACCCCACCCCACCCTTTTCCCCCATCCTTGTTCCTACATTATACCCCCCCTACCTCGTATTCTGGTCGATAGCGACCCAATCCGGGACCTCCCATCCGGACTGTAAAAACAACCATACAAAGTAGCCGTTTTTCTTCTCAACATCGTCTTTCTTGCCGTCGACGATGCGAAAAGCGTGGCAAGAATGGGACGCGGCGCACATCGCGCGCGGCAGTCAATC